TCAGAACAAGTACAGTCAGAACAAGTACAATCAGAACAAGTACAGTCTGAACAAGTACAGTCAGAACAAGTACAGTCTGAACAAGTACAGTCAGAACAAGTACAGTCAGAACAAGTACAGTCTGAACAAGTACAATCAGAACAAGTACAGTCAGAACAAGTACAGTCAGAACAAGTACAGTCAGAACAAGTACAGTCAGAACAAGTACAGTCAGAACAAGTACAGTCAGAACAAGTACAGTCAGAACAAGTACAGTCAGAACAAGTACAGTCAGAACAAGTACAGTCAGAACAAGTACAGTCAGAACAAGTACAGTCAGAACAAGTACAGTCAGAACAAGTACAGTCAGAACAAGTACAGTCTGAACAAATACAGTCAGAACAAGTACAATCAGAACAAGTACAGTCAGAACAAGTACAGTCAGAACAAGTACAGTCAGAACAAGTACAGTCAGAACAAGTACAGTCAGAACAAGTACAGTCAGAACAAGTACAATCAGAACAAGTACAGTCTGAACAAGTACAGTCAGAACAAGTACAGTCTGAACAAGTACAGTCAGAACAAGTACAGTCAGAACAAGTACAGTCAGAACAAGTACAGTCAGAACAAATACAGTCTGAACAAGTACAGTCAGAACAAGTACAGTCAGAACAAGTACAGTCTGAACAAGTACAGTCTGAACAAGTACAGTCTGAACAAGTACAGTCTGAACAAGTACAGTCTGAACAAATACAGTCTGAACAAGTACAGTCTGAACAAGTACAGTCTGAACAAGTACAGTCTGAACAAGTACAGTCAGAACAAGTACAGTCAGAACAAGTACAGTCTGAACAAGTACAGTCTGAACAAGTACAGTCTGAGGAAAACATGACTTGGTTACGTCATCTGGAAAAGGAATTGAAAGCTATGAAGACATTCGCCATTATCGTTGGAATCTTGACAATTTGTTTTGTTCGCGAACGTGATTTGTATTTCTGACTATGATTCATGTTTCTCGCACACTACATATTTGATCATTCTCCAGCTGGTTGGAATAAACTCGATTGCAAATGCCTTCGTCTATGCATTGAGACGTAAAAAATACATAAGAGCTTATAGGAAACTCTTTTCTTCTGCCTGGGCACGGCTCTTCCCACAAAATAACTGACTTATTCATTGATTATATAGATATAATTATCTTACTCCAAAACGCATTTTACAGTAAAAACCAGGGCGCTTATATATACGCGCCCTGGTAAAAACTAATCATGGAACAACGAAAAACCACCTATACTTAAGGTGGCTCCCTACAGTTATTCTTGTTTAAGCAATAATTCCGTAAAACAGGCTTATTTGTGCAGAACGCGAATTATTTTCGACTTGGTGGCAATATTGGTCACCTAAGGAATATTTCGAACTAGATTTCGACGATGTCAATGTTCCCATGGCAACATGACGACAGCATAAAGCCTTCCAGTTTAACCCATAAATGTGCCGCTATCTCAAAAACGATGTCGGTGACCTATCTTTTTTATTTCATATATCAATAGGGAATGATGCTCTGCAACTGTGGTGAAAGTTTAAAAAAATTCTGTAGTGTGTGATTTTTTTAAAAGCGAAAAATTTATTGCGAAATTTCCACACTACAGATTTTTTTAAAATTTGAAATTTATAAAATTTACCGCAAAATAAATTCGTGGTCAAAATTGGAAGATAGGTCACCGATGAAACTAATGAGTAAAATGCAAATAAAGTTAGAAAATAGCCTCGTGTAACTCGAGAAATTCCCCTATTGAAAAGCGTCGCTGACTAGTAAAAGATTGTACGCGGGCGCAGAACGAGTTTTCATTCAGCAAAATCGAGCCGCAATGTTGTTTTTACTGTTTTGTTTTTGTCAACTTTTCGATTTATTTGAGTGCTATGGACAGCCAAGGATTATTGTGAAGGATTAAATCGATGAAAACAAGGTTGAAGCTAATTGAATCCTGCCGTTTACTCAATCTATGAGCTGTAACAGCCTATTAACAGGTGGACGTGTTTTTTGTTTCATGTTTGGTTTTGTACTTTTTGCTAAAAATGAACAATTAGGCTATGAAACTGAAATATTTTTCTGTTTACATATAATCACTTTAATCTTCTAGAAACACGACTAAAAACGTGAACGTTTTCTTGAGAAGTAAACAACTTTTTAAACGTTTCTATGCAATTTTGCAAATGTTTTACAGTTGAGTCAGTTGACAGTGTATAAAAAAATTTAAAAATATTGTTTCGTAGCTATTTTTTGGTCTAGTGATATTCGTATCATATGTAGAATTGCTCGCAAGTGATTTGGCACTCAAAACAAAGTATTATTCAACGCTTTTTTCCATTAGAAACCTTTCAGAAATAGCTTTATTTTTAAAAAAAGCATGGTCAATTTTTGTTTTGTTTTGATCATGCAGTTGCGTGGGATAGTTCCCGTACTTGTCCCGCGAATATCCCGCACGGAACTGTAGGGAGCCTCCTTAAATAACTAAGTTTAAGTTGCAGTATATTAGTACAACAACTGAAATTGTAAACATTTTGCAAATAATTTATTCAGCAAGGGTATGGGTTATTTCTTGAGCATGGTTGTTGATTATACCTGTATCTCTAGAGCAGTTCATTAGATTGATGAAAAACAAAGGAAACAAACAATCATGCCATTAAACATGCCAATTTAATCAAGGAACACGGTAGAATGCAAGGAAATTGATTCTCAAAGAAAAGCGAGAAAATATGAAATATACCACAGTTTGACGGTGAACGATGAAAGTGAAAAAGAACAACATAAACAAGATCAATATCTGTTAAAAGAAAAAACAAGGCGACCAAACAACGAAGAAAATAATCTGCAAGATTCCCCCAAAACATTGCATGCATACACTGCGGCATATATAATTTATCGCTTTATTTTACTTAGAAAAAACTTGATCTATGTCAGTCCATTAAAATTAGTTGCATCACTAAAAAATCCCATGCAATAGTGCATGTTACCCCTCAATGCGGGGAAGGCTATATTAATTGTTAAATAGAATGGTACACCTTCGCTGCTGCAGGCAGAGGTCTCTAAAGAATGGCCCATTTTATTCCATAATTTTAAGTTTAAATAATATTCAATTTTAGAAGTACGACTTGTTGGTGGTTCTCACAATGAAGGACGGGCAGAGGTCTACTATAAGAGTCAATGGGGAACAGTTTGTATACACGTCCATTTGTGATTCTCATGCGACAACACTATAAGCAGTTAAAAATTCAGGTCTGAAACGGTGTATTATATTTATGACAGATGTGCAAAGTGTTAGACAATATAAGACTTATGCACTGCAAGTGCATGGCTTATGTATTCAGATGCTGTGGTGTGGAGGATATACTACAATACCTGAAAAATATAAGCAGAACTTGGAGATTAAATTTTGAGCAAAGGACCTTCGTCGGGAGGTTAGAATCTAGTACTTATAAGTATATATTTCTGCATGTCTATCCTTTCAAACCGCAGCTGTTTCTTATCATCTTTACCTACACTGCATGGCATCGACCGGTTGAGATTATATTCAGATGCCTTATATACCTGAACGGTTGGATGTAAATCATGTTATTATACATTGTTACAGTATATATGGGAATCACGTAACTTACAGACAATATATTGTTATCTGCTAGCAGTATAACACTTCTGTAAATTGAGTCTGCGGCATGTAGTTTTATAGCAAGCGGCAGCTTTACATATATATATATATACATGAATAAAAACAAGAAAACACCAACATGCAGGAATGAAAGACGTTTTTATCAATTGTTTTTCGGCATGCATGCAAAAGCTTTTTTTGATTTTTTTGTCACAATTTTAGCATGGGCAAATGAGTTTTCTAATATTTTATATGTGCTGATATTCTGATAGTTTAAATCGCTTTTCTTAAAACTAAACGTTGTTTTGTGCGACAAATCACTTATTAAATTCACTTTTTGTGATACCCGGATTGTCAAGGTCTCGGTAAGTGATGCTTGTGGTGTTACTCTGAGTGTATATCCTCACCGGGCAATTTTGAAAAAATATGCCTGACCACGGTGGGAATCGAACCTACGACCTTTGGAATGCCAGCCCAATGCTCTGCTAACTGAGCTACGCGGTCTGATCGGTTCGAGGATGTGATATTTCGGAACAGAACATTGATATCGAAGGAACTAGATTCTGTTCCGAATTATCACATCCTCGAACCGATCAGACCGCGTAGCTCAGTTGGCAGAGCATTGGGCTGGCATTCCAAAGGTCGTAGGTTCGATTCCCACCGTTGTCAGGCATATTTTTCAAACTTGCCCGGTGAGGATATACACTCAGAGTAACACCACAAGCATCATATTCACCTGAGTACATTACAGTACCAACGCAAGAAAAAAAGTCTCGGTAAGTGTTATTCACTTTCGCTTTCAACTTGAATCATAACACTTACCTCGGCCTTGGTAATTTTTGTTTACTATTACTGTTTAAAATAACCTCATCCAATTGCTATTTATAATATAACAAGAAAATGAAATTCATATCGTTTATTCTGAAAGCCTGAAACCGTTACGTTACAGATAGCAAAGTAACTAGCGACATTTAATTTGTGAACATTTTCAAACTCTTGATGTTGCTCAGTAATGTACTCCTTATTTGCTATAATATTATTATCTCCGAGCAAATTGCGTAGCGAGGGTAGCAATGGACCATTTGCATTATAGACTAAATTTTGATCTAGACAAAAATTTCATCACAGCTCGAAAGAGAATCACAAAATTAGTAATATTCCAAGTTTCGTTGCGAAATGTTGTAAAATGCGGATAATATAGCCATGCGAAGTTTGCCGTTTTTCAGTCATTTTGTATTACGCACGGGAAATTGACAGCCCAATCGGGTGTTGGGGCATCGATTTCCCGTTTGTAATACAAAATGACTGAAAATTGCAAATTTCGCAAGGCTATATTATCCGCATTTTACAACATTTCGCAACGAAACTTTGGAATATTACTAATTTAGTGATGCTCTTTCAAGCCGTGATAAAATGTTTGTCTAGATCAAAATTTAGTTTCACCAGGGTGAAAGAAAGCTAGCGGAGCGAAAAATCCATCAATGATCGCAGGCGCGTGGCTATGTTTCATGGATGGACCGGTTTGATTGAAAATTGAAGTTTCTAGAATGTCTAAGAATAAATCTACACTATATATTTCGGGGATTGAAAACAAGTATGATGTTTCGATTGCATGCGTTTCTCATTTTGTAGAAAAAATGTTACTATCTATGTTAATATAGTATTGTGTTTTGAATGATGACTGCATGTAACTATAGTTGTTCGCTTTGAAAATGCGAGGGGTTGCTGCATGCACGCATGTATTTCTAGTATGTAATTGTTTAAAAATAGGTACGCACTGCGTACATGTTGCAAGCCAGTAGTCAGTAGGGAGCTTTAGATTTGACTACGACTACGAGTACGAGATTTGATCGCGTGCGAGAAAGTTACCGTAGTCGTTCTCGTTTCCATTCAAACGTTGCTTTTATAACAGTAAATCAACAACGAGAGAAAAAGTTTCATAAACTAAATCTCCTGCTGACTAAAATCCCCTACAAAACGTGCAAATAAGTCATAACAATAAAAACAGGCCAGATATTTAGTACTAATATATTATTTGCGCCGGATAAACGCTATATAAATGCTACAAATTATTTTTGGAAAACAAAAAAAAGCCAACTTTCTTTCTTTTTTTTTTTTTTTGAAAAGTCGTGAGGACTACGAGGTTTCTCCACAATTTCGTACTCAGATGGGCGACGGCTACGACTTTTTAGCGTCAGTACGGGATGGCGTAAGCATACAGCATGCGTTTAGCTTGACGAATCTCGTACTCGTAGTCGTACTCGTAGTCAAATCTAAAGCTCCCTAGTCCCTGCAGGTGCACGAGGTTAACAAGTGTTGGTGTTTGTTGGCTAGTGATTTGCATTCTCTTTTCACCTCTGTGGCCGAAGTTTGCTGTTGCAACATGCAGGACATGAAATTCTTATCATTATTTTGCCTCACATGCACATGGGCTCTAGAGCTGTGCGGTTAACCGAAAAATTCGGTTCTTCCGGTACTTTTTTTAGCACCGAAAAATTATACGTAAAAGAACCGGTAGTTTCGGTTTTAATTTCCCGTTTAACGCCCGCCAAACGCCCACCTGATTGCAGGTTGAAATGTTTGGAAAATAACAAGATTGTGCTCTTTGTGCACAGATTGTGCAGCACAATATGCACTGTACAAAGTGATCAAATAATAGTTGATATTTTAGTTGTGATAGTTATTGTTGTGCATTTGCTTTAAAATGTTTTTTTTAAAAGAAATATTTCATGTTCATAAATAAATTCCAATTGTTCTTTTAAAATATTCAGAGATTTATACAAACTTACAAAGGCATAAATTCATCGATTTAGTAAAAATGCTCGAAACATACATAATTGAAAATAACCGAAACCGAACCGAGGTTTTTCTGTTCCAAAAAAACCGGAACCGGGATCAAATTTTTGGAACCGCACAGCTCTAATGGGCTCCCAATGTGCCTCTACAAGAAACTGATTAGCTTTTATTGGGTCCATCGTACTCCTCTGAAATAGAGGGTGATAGCGCAGGATTTACTATGCCTCAACTAGGAAAAGGATCATGCATAAAAAAGGAATTTCATTGGCATATTTGACAATGCTGATATACTGTAACCCAATCATTTGATAAACTCTATACATTATGTCCTGGGAAGGGCTACTAACAATTGAACAATACATCAGCTTATTTTTAGCCTAATTAAGCCAATGTCTTATCCACAAATCAGACAAAAATATTGTATAAGCTTTGTTGACAATGCCTTCAGTTGTTGATTTTTAATGAAATAATCTAAAGCTATATTAGAAAACTGTTGCATGCAGGCATCTTGTTTTGGAAGAAATCTGTCTACCTTTCCATACATATATATTCGTCTACAAATAAACAAAATACAAGCCATGTACAGGATGACGCAAGCCATTGGTATTGTAACCGGCACGTGCTTATTAAAGCTCATGCCATAAACTCCATTACATTAAATATACATACACGCGGGAGTAGCAAGCTAATATGTTAAAATAAATTATTATGTTATGGAACAAATCTGAAATCTGCATAATATTTCTGAGAGTGCATTGTGCAAGTCTACAGCACTATAGTATAGATTTGGTATTGAATAGAAAAAATGTACACACAGATTTACATAACATTCGCTTAATTGATACAGCAAACAAAATATAAAAATGGACATTCCTCACGATTTATGGTGCCACTGTCTCAAAAATCGAGACCAAAAAGAGCAAAAATTAAAACACGCCGATTGTAGATGGGTTTTGTGCATGGAAATCGAGTGTGAATTTTATATACATTTATTAAACCTAACCAGAAGCAGTTGCGAAAAATGCAACTATAGCCCCTCTGGCAGGAATCGAATCTGCGATTCAAAGAACAGCGTTCTAACCGACTGAGCTACAGAGTCCAGTTGTCGAGCTCTAACGCCAATGTAAGGTGTATGGGTAAATATTATTAAATATAAATTATAATTATTTTTATTCAATAATTGTAAATAAAAGTTCATCATTTCCCGTGCTCAACCGGACCTGAACGTATATCTCAATCTCGAAACCCAACCAACCGCGGCAGGCAGAGTTTTCTGCTTGCGCGCGGTTTGGACGCTTTGATAGGGATAGCAGCCAAAATTTCAAATTTACAGGGGGGCTCCGCAAGTAGTTTGATAGAGCTCGTGATTTAAAACACAATGGTGTTTGTTTCATCAAAATCGGTCAAGGCAATCAAAAGTTACGGCAATTTGAATATTGGAATTTTAGTCCAATTTTTGGAAGAGCGACACTGTATAAATGTATTACAGCTGCATGGGTGTGAAATGTGGCACCAAAATTCTTGGTTTTAAGTGGATTTTTGAACATACAGTATAAGGTCATAACTTCTAGACATTTCATCCAATCACCACAATATTTTCAGAGTACATTGGTGACATACAAAGCAACAACATAGTGTAACAGTTGGACACTTATCGTTGCCATGGAAACCGTATGACGTCATGAAATGACAAAGAAAAAGCACAGAAACTGAAATTAGATAATTCTCAATGCGACTCGAACCCAGTCCTCATGTGAAAGAGTAAAAGTCAACGCTCTGCCGAAAGTCGTGGGTTTTCTCCGGGTACTCCGGTTGCCTCCCACAGGGAAAGTTGACAGTGTGGGTTAGGTAAAAGGGCCCACAGTAATTGGCATATGCTGTTGTGGTGACCCTGCCCTAGTTGGCAAAGCTAAATAAATAAATAAATAAATGTTATATACGACTTTCAATATTAATGTGTATTTATTTACTATGGCCGGTTGATGTTTAATGAAAAGAAACGGATATTTTTTAAAATGAATAATGTTTAAAATTGCGCTAAAATGACACGCCACTCAAGACACTTGTCTACAAAAGTCGCTTTGTTTTAAAAGCAACGCAATGTTTGAAGTGTTGCCAGATGTTTCCCACACACAACGGAAAGAAATTGGACTTTGGAAGGATGAATAATAATTCAACGAACTCAACATCTTACCCAAGAGAACATGACCGTGATCACCGTATTATCTTAGTGGTAATTAATTTCTACTTCTTATTTGTTGGTGTGTTGGGAAACATTGCAGTTATTATTTACAACATTTTTCTGAACCACGACAAGACTCCGAGCAGCTGGTTGGTTACACACCTTGCTTTCGCTGATCTTCTCGTCTGTTTAATACTTTATCCAGAAAGAATTGTTCGGTTCTTATCACATGCAGAAGTGAGGCATGAAAGGTTAGTGCTTTGCAAGATAAAATTTACCACATTTTATGTTTCCTTATTCCTTTCCATAATGATCCTACTATCCATCACAGTTGACAAATATCTGTATATAGCGAAGCCACTGCAATATCCACTGATCGTAAGAACACGAAGAACTAAGATACTTCTCAGTTGTATCTGGTTAGCTGCTTTGGTTCAGTTCCCACTCATATATATTGACATGGGCATAAACAAGAGAGAATGTTATAATTCACGACCCGTTGCATGGTTGGAGGTCATCCTACAGTTAGCCGCCATTTGTGTCATGACAATCCTGAATTACAGAATGTTCAAGATCGCCAAAGATCAAAGACAAAGGATGGCATTAGAATTCGTGTTACAGCCTCGACAGTCAGAACAAGTACAGTCTGAGGAAAACATGACTTGGTTACGTCATCTGGAAAAGGAATTGAAAGCTATGAAGACATTCGCCATTATCGTTGGAATCTTGACAATTTGTTTTGTTCCATATATTGCCGCGAACGTGATTTGTATTTCTGACTATGATTCATGTTTCTCGCACACTACATATTTGATCATTCTCCAGCTGGTTGGAATAAACTCGATTGCAAATGCCTTCGTCTATGCTTTGAGACATAAAAAATACATAAGAGCTTATAGGAAACTCTTTTCCTCTGCCTGGGCACGGCTCTTCTCACAAAATAACCGACTTATTCATTGATTATATAGATATAATTATCTTACTCCAAAACGCATTTTACAGTAAAAACCAGGGCGCTTATATATACGCGCCCTGGTAAAAACTAATCATGGAACAACGAAAAACCACCTATACTTAAATAAGTTTAAGTTGCAGTATATTAGTACAACAACTGAAATTGAAATGAAATTATTTGCAAATCATTTCTTCAGCAAGGGTATGGGTTATTTCTTGAGCATGGTTGTTGATTATACCTGCATCTCTAGAGCAGTTCATTAGATTGATGAAAAACAAAGGAAACAAACAATCATGCCATTAAACATGCCAATTTAATCAAGGAATACGGTAATGCAAGGAAATTGATTCTCAAGAAAAAAGCGAGAAACTATTAAATATACCACAGTTTGACGGTGAATGATAAAAGTGAAAAAGAACAACATAAACAAGATCAATATCTGTTAAAAGAAAAAACAAGGCGACCAAACAACGAAGAAAATAATCTGCAAGATTCCCAAGAGGAAGCTGAACCTGAGGAGACCAAAAACATTGCATACATACACTGCGGCATATATAATTCATCGCTTTATTTTACTTAGAAAAAACTTGATCTATGTCAGTCCATTAAAATTAGTTGTATGACTAGAAAATCCCAATAGTGCATGTATGTTTAAAAATTCAGGTCTGAAACGGTGTATTATATTTATGACAGATGTGCAAAGTGTTTGACAATATAAGACTTATGCACTACAAGTGCATGGATTATGTATTCAGATGCTGTGGTGTGAAGGATATACTACAATACCTGAAGAATATAAGCAGAACTTGGACATTAATTTTGAGCGAAGGACCTTCGTCGGGAGGTTAGAAACTAGTACTTATAAGTATATATTTTTGTATACTTGGTATAGCTGTCTATCCTTTCAAATCGCAGCTGTTTCTTATCATCTTTACCTACACTGCATGGCATCGACCGTTTGAGATTATATTCAGGTACTTTTGGTACTTGCAGGGAAAAATGCAAGGAAATAAAATTGACAAGGAAATAGCAAGGAAATCTAACCTCAAGCAAGGAAATTGAAAGGAATTTTAAGATTCTTCAAATTGTTAGCTTTAATCTTAAAAATAAACAACAAATAATGTACATTTCCGTTTGGATTACTGGAAAAGTGTTTTTAAATCTAAGTTTATAACTTTAATTTGTTTTCACTATGATTTTATGTTGTTTTCTAGCTTAATCCCTGGCCCTCTCCCGTGTCCTGGTCGGTTCAAATGGTTTTTTGATTAATGCCAAATACCGACCTGGCTTCCGGCGGAAGTGAAAGGTCAGGAACTAGGCCAGTGCTGGATTAACCTTTCCAATTCAGGGAGCAAATTTTTTATTCGTTTTTTTTTGGCCAGTGGAAATCTAGGGCCGGGCGCAAATGCCCGTTTTGCCCCTAAGATAATCCGGCACTAAACTAGGATAGTTGTTTAATTTTTTTATTGTTCTTCATAATATGTCAGACTTAAACAAACAAGAAATAGTTATGAATGAGTTTTTAATTGTGGTTTCAGCGTTATGATACCATATGTTCAACATATTTGCGCTTCAGGCACAAACACACGAGGCACCAGAGTACAAGTTGTTGATGCGCAGCCTGTACTATAGCCCCCTGAGAAGTCCCCGAATAGGAAGGAAATTTGAAGGGAATTTTTGTGATTTTGGCAAGGAAAATTAACGGGAAAAAAGGAAATTTGATGCTCAAAAAGGGAAATTTCATTGAAGACTTATGGAAGCACTGTTGAATACAATATGTAATTCATACTTCTGACACTCCGTAGTTACGGTTGCTACGTCCCACCAGCCGTTTTGCTTTTGCGTAATTTACGAATGGGTGATTCCAGCTATACACTAAATTTTGATCCAGGCAAAAAGAACGAAATCCAACACCAGAGCTAGAAAGAGCATCTTAGAAAGAGTAAAACTGCAAAAATTGGTTGCTACATGTTGTAAAACGAAGTTGGTTGCTACATTTTGTAAAACGATCTTCCGATCTCTGTGAAGTTCGCAAATTTTGTATATATTTGTATTATACACACGGAGGAAAAATAACCACTTTCGGCTCAAAAATGGTTGTTTTTCCTGCCCGTAATGCAATTATGTACAAAACTTGCGGACTTCACAGGGCTATATTTTCCTCATTTTACAACAATTCGCAACCAAACCGAACCCACGACCTTCATATTTCTAGAAGATGCTCTACCGTCTGAGCTACAAGGCAAAGTTGGGAACGATGTGATGTTATTGACATTTCGCAATTTCTTCCTTCGATGCCTGATAGCAGCTGTTACTCTGGTAAATGTTATATACGACTTTAAATATTAATGTGTATTTATTTATTATGGCCGGTTGACGTTTAATGAAAAGAAATGGATAAATACAACTCCAAAACAATTAATGTAAACTTAAAATAATTTTTAAAATAAATGATGCTTAAATTGCGCTAAAATGACAGGCCACTTAAGTCGCCTGTCTACAAAAGCCGCTTTGTTTTAAAAGCAACGCAATGTTTGAAGTGTTGCCAGATGTTTCTTTCCTACACGCAACGGACATGCAGTATTGGAAAGAAGAACAAGGACCAAAGCTGAATTATAATTGGACAAACTCAAGATCTTTTTCCCCAAGCGAATTACGTGACCGTGATCATGGTGTTATCTCAGTGGTATTTAGTTTCATCTACTTATTTGTTGGTGTGTTGGGAAACATTGCAGTTATTATTTATCACATTTTTCTGAACCACGACTAGACTCCAAGCAGCTGGTTGGTTACACATCTTGCCTTCGCTGATCTTCTCGTCTGCTTAACACTTTATCCAGAAAGAATTGTTCGGTTCTTTCATGCAGAAGTGAGAGATGAAAGATTGGTGTTTTGCAAGATAAAATTTACCACATTTTATGTTTCCTTATTCCTTTCCATAATGATTCTGCTGTCCATCACAGTTGACAAATATCTGTATATAGCGAAGCCGCAGCAATATCCACTGATCGTAAGAATACGAAGAACTAAGATACTTCTCAGTTGTATCTGGTTAGCTGCCTTGGTTCAGCTCCCACTCATATATATTGACATGGGCACCGATGAGAGAGAATGTTATAATTCACAACCCGTTGCATAATTGGAGGTCATCCTACAGTTAGCCGCCATTTGTGTCATGACAATTCTGAATTACAGAATGTTCAAGATCGCCAAAGATCAAAGACAAAGGATGGCATCAGAATTCGTGTTACAGCCTCGACAGTCAGAACAAGTACAGTCTGAACAAGTACAGTCTGAACAAGTACAGTCTGAACAAGTACAGTCTGAACAAGTACAGTCTGAACAAGTACAGTCTGAACAAGTACAGTCATGCAGAACAAGTACAGTCTGAACAAGTACAGTCTGAACAAGTACAGTCAGAACAAGTACAGTCAGAACAAATACAGTCTGAACAAGTACAGTCAGAACAAGTACAGTCTGAACAAATACAGTCTGAACAAGTACAGTCTGAACAAGTACAGTCTGAACAAGTACAGTCTGAACAAGTACAGTCTGAACAAATACAGTCTGAACAAGTACAGTCTGAACAAGTACAGTCTGAACAAGTACAGTCTGAACAAGTACAGTCAGAACAAGTACAGTCAGAACAAGTACAGTCTGAACAAGTACAGTCTGAACAAGTACAGTCTGAACAAGTACAGTCAGAACAAGTACAGTCTGAACAAGTACAGTCAGAACAAGTACAGTCTGAACAAGTACAGTCTGAACAAGTACAGTCAGAACAAGTACAGTCTGAACAAGTACAGTCAGAACAAGTACAGTCAGAACAAGTACAGTCTGAACAAATACAGTCAGAACAAGTACAGTCTGAACAAGTACAGTCTGAACAAGTACAGTCAGAACAA